ACCAAGTCAGAATTTGGATGAAGTCTTAAAGCTCAGAGGCTATAGCTGAGAAAAAGGAAGTTTCCCAGCCATAAAGAGGCCCATGTGTCATAAATGTGGTTTTCTTAGGGTTGCCAAATGGGGGTGGGGGACGGGGAAACCCCCGCTTTGGAGGCCCGATTTCCGCTGTGGTGGAATCAGGCCCCGGGGGGAACTCCGCCCCCCAAAGCTGCATCACCAGAGGTGATGCAGCCACGTTGCTGACGTTGGGGGTGTGGCTGAGCTAATCGGGGTGAAAACCATATGGTTTCCCCCCCGACGAGCTCGGCCATGCCCCCAACGTCAGCAACGTCGCACGTCACTTCTGGTGACGTGGCGGCGGTGTGCGCGCGCTTTGCGCGCACGTGCGAACATAGCCTGCTCCCAGACTCGTCAGCGCCTCCCCGGCTGGTAAGTTTGCCAGACTTGGCAACCCTAGGTTTGCTAAATTACAAAGTTTTATTCAAGGTATAAGCTTTCATGTGCACACCATTTCTTCAGATACAATGAAGTGGAAATTACCAGTCCATAGATATAAGTAGAGGGTAAGCAGTAAATTAGCATACAGCATAATGAAGATGTTTAAAAGATTTAAGGACCAAACAGGAATAACAAGCTTAGTTTATATGGTTACCATTTGTTTGGGTTCAATTCCGTGTGTGTGTGTGGCATAGTGAAGGAAATAAATATTTCAAAATCGGAGACTGATGGGCAGATGTATCCTATGGAATGCTGAGAGTAATTAACTGAGACCCTACCATTAAACTCCATATATCTCATCTCAAGCATGGAGGTGACCTTACAGAATCTTCTTCTTTGAAATGGGGCAATTGGCTGTGTAGAGTTATCTTCCTGTCCCCAGACTAGAGAAATACTTTCCAATCTACCATTCCAAATTACATTACATTCTACCATTAATTACGTTACATTACAATCTACTATTCTAATTTATTATTCCAAATAAGAAAGAAAAGAAAAGAAAGGATATATGGCCTTTCTGGGGGATTGCTGAGAATACAGATGTAATGGCTGAATGAAGTTAGCATATATAGTGAGATAAGAAGTCAATATCCCTGTTAAGTCCTGGGGACTGTTGTGGGCCATGCCTCACATTTGAGGGGATGGAGGCCTGAAATGTCCCACTATAGCTATGGGTCTGCCCCCAGTACTTGTGAAAGAGAACTGTCATTATCCAGTAGAGGTTGCAAGTTGCTGATGATGCTTGGAACTGTTTTGAGTTGAGAGCTGTATTTGACCACTAGTGGTGTTCTGGTATTGTCTCTTTTGGGCCTGTCTTGCAACAGGTTTTCACTGGGTACCATTCTGGCTGTTTCTTGACTTTATCAGGTGGGTACTTTACTTCCAAACATGTTTGTTGTGGATCCCTCAGGTGAGAATCTCTGTCTGTAGGATTGGAGCAGATGCGGCTGTAGCATAGAGCCTGGCTGTATACAATGGATCATTTGCTATGTTTAGGATGGTAGTTGGACACATGTAGGTATTGTTATGTATTGAGATGTATATGACTGCCTTGTGAACTGTGCCATTGAGATGCCATGTTAAGCTTCGCCCTGGGCTAGGATCCTAATGTAACCAATAGGAGCCCTAGCCCAGAATATGTTTGCCAATCACCGTGCAGAGCGGGATCGCTTGTGATTGGTCCTTATTGCTTCAACCTCATAGGTTGCTTATTGTACAGTGGGTGTGGCTACATTAGCCGGGAATGTTTAAATATAGAGCAGCCAGTGTATGTGTTGGTTCGAATGATGGTTCTGGCTGGCGATCGTTGTACCGTGTTCGGAGAAGTAACAGAGCTGAAGAATAAACCGCATTCTTGCTGAATCACTCTCCGACTTCTTTGTTAAGCGCACGACTTAACAATTGGCGACGAGGATGGGATGCTAGTGCGGGTAGGCAGCCCCGCTAGAGCAGACCCCATGTCGGACAACGAGGAAATCGCCGAGGCCGGCCAGCCACAGGCTCCACCCGCTCTGATGGCCCCGCCTGTGCGCATAACGATGGCCGCGAGCAGCCAGAAGTTCGAATGCTTCGACCCGACTACTGAAGACTGGGACTCTTACCTCACAAGGTTTGAGTTCCATCTGGAGGCGAATGACATCACGACGGAGGAGAAGAAGAGGGCGACTCTACTCAGCTCGTGTGGAAAGAGCGTTTTTGACATCGCCCGGTCACTGGTGGCACCAGATGACCTCAAAACCGTATCCTTTGAAAGCTTGACAGACAAGCTGAAATCACATTTCTCTCCACAGCCGTCGGAAATCGCCTGCAGGCACGCTTTTTACAAGCGGGGCCAGAACGCAAATGAGTCCATAGCTGAGTACGTTGCAGCTCTTCGCAAGGCAGCACGGCCTTGCAACTTCGCGAATGTGGAGGAGGCCCTCCGAGATCGCCTCGTTTGTGGTCTGAGAGACGAGCGACTGCAGCAACGCTTGTTCGCAAGAACTACACTAACGTGGGCCATCGCCTATGCCGAGGCTGTCGCCGCGGAAGCTGCTGACAGGTCAACCAGGGAAGTGAGACAACGGGTCGCCACAGCTGATCAACGCGTCCACCAGCAGAGGGCTAACGACGCAAGCAGCGACTCCGATGATGACGTCTGCAAAGTGAAGGCGGGAACGTCCAAGCGGACCCAACGGAAACCTGCCGAGTGTACAGCATGCGACGGTTGCGGCGGGAAACATCGGCGCGAGCGTTGCTGGGCGAGAGACCTCGACTGCCGGAAGTGCGGAAAGCGGGGGCATGTTGCCCGGGTATGCAGAGCCGCAAACAAGTCTTCACCAGCTTCATCTCCCCGCCGGCACCAACGTCCCCGAGCCGCACCGAAAGAAGACACCCGCCAGATGACAGGGAGCCTGTCGTCAGAAGCCACAGCCACCGTCCTAAGCACCGAGAGCCGACAAAAGATCCACGTCGTTCTCCATCTCGACGGCGCACCGTGTGAGATGGAAGTGGATTCCGGGTCGGCGGTAACCGTTTTGTCTACGCAGACGTGGCACAAGCTGTTCCCAACACGAAGTCGGCGGAGGTTGCGAGCTGCGGACATCCGATTGTCCGATTTTCAGGGAAATCGAATCCCTCTGGCGGGGAGGGATACGTTCACAGTTAATTTCAAAGGGAAAGGTGCTGTGCTTTCATGTTTGATCGCTGAGGGAAACCGTACCAACCTGCTCGGGTTGGACTGGTTTGAGCCTCTGGGTATTGCTGTTGTGGGAGTTAATAACGTTGTGGAAAATAAATGGGCTGTATTATATGCTGAATTTCCTGAAGTGTTTGGGGGCGGATTGGGAAAGTATAATGGTCCCCCAGTGTCTTTTGAGTTGGATCCTGCTATACGCCCTATACGCCTAAAATACAGGAAAGTGCCCATTCCGTTCAAGGCAAAGATCGAGGCTGAACTCGATAAGCTACTTGAACAAGGGGTGTTGGAACCAGTTCCTTGTAGTAAATGGGAAACCCCCATTGTTACTCCAATTAAACCCGATGGGTCAATACGAATTTGCGCTGACTACAAGTGCACGATTAACAAAGCCTTGCAGCAGCATTCGTACCCTGTACCAGTCATTAGCCACGTACTGGCATCACTGGGAGGAGGGAAGGTATTCGCCAAACTCGACCTGGCCCAAGCGTACCAACAACTCCCCGTGACCAAAGAGGCGGCTGACGCCCAGACCATCGTAACGCATAGGGGGGCGTTTAGAGTAAATCGACTCCAATTCGGAGTGAATGTTGCGCCGGGGATTTTTCAGAGCCTCATGGAGGGGTTGTTGAGGGGGGTGCCGGGCACGGTGCCCTATTTTGACGATGTCTTAATAGCGGGCAAATCTGATGACGAGCTGCTGTGCCGAGTGCGGGAGGTGCTCAAACGTTTTTCTGATGCGGGCCTGAAGGTAAAAAAGTCGAAGTGCCTGGTGGGAGTCCCGAGTGTGGAGTTCTTGGGGTTCCGGGTGGATGAGTTTGGGGTCCATCCTACTAACGATAAGGTCTCCGCAATCCAGAATGCCCCACGGCCACAAGGGAAGAAGGAGTTACAGTCCTTCCTAGGACTCCTTAATTTTTATCACGCCTTCTTGCCCCACAAGGCGTCGATTGCGGCCCCATTGCACAACCTGCTGCATAAAGACACAAAATGGAGGTGGGGTCCAGAGCATGAGCGGGCATTCGATGGGGTGAAAAAATTGTTGTCGTCTGATGCAGTGTTAACACATTATGATGAGGACAAACTGCTTGTGTTAGCTGCTGATGCGTCCCCATTTGGGGTGGGAGCTGTGCTGAGCCACGTAATGCCCGACGGGCGGGAAGCCCCTATCGCCTTTTATTCCAAGTCGCTAACAGCAGCGGAAAGAAACTACGCGCAGATTGACAAAGAGGCTTTGGCGCTAGTTTCCGCTGTTAAGAAGTTTCATGACTTTTTGTTTGGACGGAGATTCATACTGGTGACAGACCACAAGCCCCTGCTAGGGATTTTTGCCCAGGACCGGCAACTCCCTGATGTTATGTCCGCACGCATGTTGCGGTGGGCTTTGTTCCTCTCAGCCTACGAGTTCGACCTGGAGCACAGGCCGGGTAAGGCCATTGGACACGCTGATGCGCTCAGCCGCTGCCCTCTGCCCGGCCAGGACTTGGACCCTGCTCCTACTTGCTCCATTCTAGCTATCGAGGAACTGCCGGAGGCACCTGTGTCTGCTAAGGACATTGCTGCTGCGACAGCAAAAGACTCTGTGCTCAGTCGTGTTATTAACTGGGTGTGGAGGGGGTGGCCGGCAGGAACGTTGGAGCCGGAGTTCAAACCGTACAAAACGCGGGAAAGCGAAATGTCGGTATCAAAGGGCTGTTTGCTGTGGGGGAACAGAGTGATTGTACCGCAACGCTGGCGCGAAAAAGTGCTGAAATCACTACACGAGGGCCATCCCGGCATGGTGCATATGAAGGCTCTGGCCCGGGGATATGTATGGTGGCCTGGGATGGATGCTGACATTGAAGAGTGGGTACGGGGGTGTACGCCATGCCAGCAGGCGAGACCCGAACCGCCAACCGCCTTCCCACAGAAATGGGAATCGGCGGGAAAGCCTTGGTCGAGGCTGCACATAGATTTGGCGGGCCCAGTACAGGGTCAAATGTTTTTGATTGTGGTGGACTCTTTTTCGAAATGGTTGGAAGTGGCGCCAATGTCTACCACCACTTCCACTGCTGTTATAAATGTGTTGCGCCGCTTAATTGCCACGCATGGGTTGCCTGATGTCCTGGTAAGCGATAACGGCGCTCAGTTCGTGTCGCAAGAGTTTGCTCAATTCCTGGCTAACAATGGCATCAGGCAAATTACGTCTGCCCCGTTCCACCCAGCATCGAACGGGCAGGCAGAGCGAATGGTCCGCACGACCAAGGATGCGCTTGCCAAGCTAACATCCGGGGATTGGGGAGTGAAACTAGCGTCATTCCTTCTACGGCAACACGTAACGCCGTGCTCTGCCACAGGCCGCAGCCCGGCCGAACTATTGATGGGGCGACGCCTAGCGTCTTTGCTGGATAGGCTGCATCCAGACCTCAACGACTTGAGGCCCCAGCAGCAGAGTGTTCCCAATAAGGTCCGCACATACGAGTGCGGAGATACTGTGTTCGCCAAGAACTATGCTGGGGGACATTCGTGGCTTCCAGCCACTGTAACTGAGGTAGTGGGTTCCCGCATGTATGTAGTCCAGCTTGCGGACGGGCGCAAATGGAGGCGACATGTGGACCAGTTGAGGCAGCGGTGGGCGACTGGCCGCCCCACCTCGCAACCTGCCGAGCTACCTGATTCCGAGGACCTTCCACAACCTCTTCCGGAGGTGAGTTCTGATGTGCCCGAGGGCCCCAGTACTGTCCGCGAGCCAGGGCAGACCCCTACTCAAAGACCCATTGCTAGTGATGGAAGTGCTCCTGACTCTGAGGTCCCAGAGTCGTACAATACTCCCCAGAATGAAAGGTGCCCTGAACCTGTACAGCTACGCAGGTCTCAGAGATCGCGCAGAGCGCCAATGTACCTAAGCGATTATGATTGTACATAGTGTTTTTGCTTAGGGGGGAGGGATTTGTTATGTATTGAGATGTATATGACTGCCTTGTGAACTGTGCCATTGAGATGCCATGTTAAGCTTCGCCCTGGGCTAGGATCCTAATGTAACCAATAGGAGCCCTAGCCCAGAATATGTTTGCCAATCACCGTGCAGAGCGGGATCGCTTGTGATTGGTCCTTATTGCTTCAACCTCATAGGTTGCTTATTGTACAGTGGGTGTGGCTACATTAGCCGGGAATGTTTAAATATAGAGCAGCCAGTGTATGTGTTGGTTCGAATGATGGTTCTGGCTGGCGATCGTTGTACCGTGTTCGGAGAAGTAACAGAGCTGAAGAATAAACCGCATTCTTGCTGAATCACTCTCCGACTTCTTTGTTAAGCGCACGACTTAACAGGTATGTTTGCTGGTCTGTAGGTTTCTGGTATAAGGTGGTGTCTATGCATCCATTGTGTATTTTTACAGTAGTATCCAGAAAATGCCTTTCTTGCATAGATTGGTTCATTGTCAGGTTAATGGTGGGGTGAAACTTGTTGAATGCCTGGTGGAATATGGGCTTCTTTACCATGTTTACAGACAATAGAAAATGTTATCAGTGTATCACAGGTATAAAAGAAGTATGAGTGGGTGGGAGTTTAGGAAGCATTGCTCCAAGTCAGCTATAAAGATGTTGGCATACTGTGGGGCCATGCAGGTGCATATCTTAAGGATTGCTGCCATTTGTTAAGGTAACTAGCGGTCAAATCACTACTAATTTATAACATGTAATTGTAGTAAATTGACACCTTTATTTTGTTTTTGACCAAGGGATAAATCAAAGTTATTCAACTCTACCCTCACTTGAGGATTGTGGATTTTTTTGATCCACAAACTTACATAAATGTAAATGTTGAAACCATAGGATAGAATATCCACTACACTGACTTACTGCTTCACAGGATACAAACTCATTATTTTTACTCATAGAAATGATCCAATTTAATCACTCTCCAATTGTTACATTGCTGCTCAGTCCATCTTATTTTTAAACTTAATTCAAGAACAGCCAACACTACTTATTCCATGTAGATATAACACTATTGATTGTCATTTTTTCAATGAATTTTTTTGTCTCAAATTCTTCTTTAGAAAAATCGAAGAGACATATAAGATGTCACAGAATCTAAGATGCCCCCAAAATTATTTGTTCATGAAACCATTGAACTAACCTTTGGATTTTAGATGTATAATAGAAAGAGAAATTTGGAATTGTAAGACCTCCCAGTTTCCATTTTTTGTTGTGCCTGTTTCCAATTAATTCTTGGTGTTTTTCTTTCCCACAGAAAAGTCCAAGGTATACTTTTGACATTTATTGATATCCATTTCCAAAATATAAGCTGGGAAGTGTTTTTTTTTTTTGAAAAAACACTTTAAGAGGATCAACATTTTAATGATATTGACCCTATCCAACAGTGGTAAATTCAAAAAAGACCTGTGTAGTAATTTATCCTTAATTTCTTTAATAACTGGGGTTGAGTCATATTTAAAAAATAAATTTACATCTACTGGGGTATGTGCCCCCAGATACCTAATTACTTTTGAGATTGATAATCTGTGTAGTTTTCTCCATGAAGCACTTCCTTTGTTGTATCAAATAACAATATTTCTGTTTTAGAAATGTTTATCTTGTACCTGATACTAAGGCATATTTGTCAATCATCTTTGTCATATCAGGCGTATTAATGGTTGTGACAAAGACTACTAACCATCATCAGCATAATGACTCAATTTATAATGGTGGTCCTTAATTTTTATACCGTGGATCTCCAATGATTCTCTGCTATGAAAAGCTAATGGTTCCATAGCAATTGCAAAGAGCAATAATTATAAGGCATCTCTGCCTGACACCACTAAATATTATAAAGGAAGGGGAAAGACAACCTGAAATTGCCAATTTCCCTAAAGATTCAGAATAAATTATGATGGCTTAATTCATATATCCAGTCCAAACCCAAAGGCTTGCAGCACCACCAGCAAGAATTTGGTTTCAATACCTTATCCGCATTGAGGAGTATAAATGCAGCTTTAAGTTTTTCATTACTGAGGTATTCAACAAAATTACATGCTTTTCTTATGTTCCCTGTTGTAAGAAAGATAGGGTAGAAATGAAGTGAATAAACAGGTAGGCTAGAAAAAAAAACCTATAGTGTCTTGGTCAAGAGTGATGAAATTTTTAAAACCTAGCCTTCAGGGTCAATGTCTAAAATACATAACCAAATTCTCTTCACTTTGCTATTCCAAACCTCTAATTTTAATGCTTGTTTTCCTATTTTTATTATCAAGGTCCTCATTTTTTAATCCAGTTCCTCAGTTTCTTTGTAGTTCTTATTAATTATAACCTCATGGTTATTAACCTCATTTTCTAAGGCCTCTTTTTTACACAGTTCTACTTTAACCTTAACCTCTTTAATCTCTACCAACGGTCTTAAAATCTCCTCCCTCTTTTTCTCATTATAATGAGTGTTTCTTCAAGCTCTCCTGTTTTATTTTAAATTTTGAGTCTGTTCAATCTTTGTGTAATTTTTTTATTCAAATTTCTGAAACTAATTCAAGAATTTTTTTTAGATTACTTCAAATGGTGGAAAGATAGAAGCTTCCATGGGACAAGAGTGTGGTGAAGGAGCTTTGGAATTTTCAGTTGGTTGACTACTTAATTACTATCATTTTATTACCAAAAAGTACTAAAATTTCTAAATACTAACTTAGAATTACAGCTATTACTTAACTACAAGGTTAACCATGAGACTAAGGGATTATCTGAATATTTCTTACAAAGTAATCATATAGTTACCCTAACATCATTGACCATAAATGGAATAACCTACCTTTCGCCTCTCAAGTTAGTGAAAACTGCAATATACAAAAGAAGAAGAAAGACCAGCAGAGGTTCATGTGGTCCTGTCTTCATTCTCTGAGGACCCATAGCATGTGCCTATGGCATGGTTATAGGCTTAAATAGAGGATCTTAAGTAGAGGCAGGCACTGAATGGCATCTCACATCTTAACAATTGGTCTGAATTTCAAGTGGGGAAGGGTCACGCCTTTTTCTTTCCTCTTCATTGGAGGTTGCTGAGGCACTGTTCCATGTGGATGGACAGAGGAGGGTCTTTCCCACCAAGGGTGGCAAGTAACTTGCCACTCCCACTCCCACTTCCCCATCACCTCTCTGACTTCCACATTTCTTTTGACTGTGCATCAAATTTTTCATCATAATGAATGTCAATCAAGTTTATTGATTAGTCACGATTTCTGGTGTCAGGCTGGAGATCTTAAATTTGTCAAATTATACAGGAATAAAAATGGCTTGCTGAGCCCCTTAATTAAGCTTTGTAACCTGAGCTATATAAAGTCTGTTCATATTACAGTGAATGCACATACAATTTACATGATTTTTTTTTACACATGCATTGAGTAATTGTCATGTTGTGCTGGACTCATGTACATTTGAATGAGTGGTTTAAATCCCACATTGATCCAGGTACTGGTCCTCCATTTCATTTGTAACATGAGCGTGTGTTGGCTCTTTCTTACAAGCAGATATATGCATGCATACCGGGATATTATACATGTTCAATGCAACATGTGAACAGGGCTATAGATGGAAAGCTGTAGCAATGTTGCTAAATTCAACTCTGTAAGGCAGAACTGCACCTTTAAGGTGATAGAAGCTATATCATTTCCTAGGGGGATCAGATCTTCTTGCACTTTGAACTGGAAGTATAGCATTTCTGGGTTTTTTTTAAAAATGAGGGGTTGGATTTGGAGGTCTACGTTTAGGGAGTAAGGATTCTGAATTCATCGCATTTAAGTCAAAATACTGAAAAGTGAAAAGTGTGCATATATCTAAAGTGTATTTAATAAGCTCATGCCTATAGGATTAAAGAAGAAAAGTTTGCAAAATGGATCCTATCCCATAGGCTGTCTTGTAGAAAAAAGATTCAACAATTACCTGAGAATCCTTGTTTTTCCAAACATAATTTAAAGTGAAGCCCAAGGCAGGCAATGTATGGTAATTCAGTCTTTTCCAAAATCTTTTTGCTTTATTTAGAATTTTATTTAAGGATAATTCACATTTTAATTCCTGAACCTTAAAACATTTTAACAATATTCAACTTAATTTATTTGCAATTTTTAATGATTTTATGGAATGTTTTATTTTCAGTGGGGAGCAGGAGGAATCAAATGTATCTTGTTCCTGTCAAACTTGCTAACGCAGCTTGTTAAACAAATCTGACATTTTATATCTGCTTCAGCTCATGATGGATGTTGACAACAATCATCCAAGCAAAACATACCGAAATACTGCTTACACTGTACATACTTATAGAAATCATCACAAAATAGTGAATTAGTGAATACAAAAAAAGTATTTATATCTAGGAAAACAGCAAAATATGAAACCCTTGAATGAAATGAC